TACGATCTGCTTACGTGATAGAATATTTTGATTCGACGTTATTAAAGACCAGTTGCTCTAGCGTTAAATAAATAGCAGATATGTATTTATTTGCAGAGTAATTGGCAAAGTACGAACGAAAGAAATATCCAAATCACCGATAAATTAGAATATAATGAAAAGATTTGAACGTACACATACAACGAATAATGCGATCGAAAGTAGGCAACGAAAAAATTTTTCAATTAAAAAAAATATGTCTTCGAGTCTGAGAATTTATGTACCCACTGCTTAACTTCGCAGCTTATAATTTCACACTGTTTGACAAGTACGTAGGCTGGTCATGTTATTGCATTTGGCAGTCAATTTAGAAATCAATTTCACGTCCGACGTTATTTAGCAATAACAAAGTTTGCTCGTTGGAATAATTCTGCGATTGAATTTTACATTCTGACGGTGGCCCAGAATACTTTTCAGCAGTGTGAATGCTTTCCATTTGATTATTCCGTGAATACTGCAGCAACGTCTGTGGTTCGTTCGTAGCTTCGAGATAATAGCATTTGAATATTTACTTTCCCCGAAATTGCTCGTTCAACTCGAGCAACTTAATTACTTTGCTACGGCATTGCTGCAATCTCGCCATTTATTTATGGATATCACCACGGAAACAGAAACATCCGAGTTCTCTTTTCCATTGGCATCGTATCATCTATATTTGCCTTTCTGTAATAGAATTACTTCTAAAGAATTTCGGTGCTTGCCAATATTTGCTGATCAATAAGTTTGATGAAACCGAAATTCATTAAATTGAACTTAAGAAGGCAGGTTATTGTTAAATATATGGACGATTAAATTAGGATCCTCTATTAAGATTAAGTAAAGTATATCGCGTATACTGCGTACAAATAGATAAACTGCCTTTTGTGGATTTTTATGCACTTGCAAACTTTCAGAAACATAATCGAAGAAATGTGACTTGTATCGAATATTTTCCTGTTAAACGTGTATGTAGAAATTTTCTATTAAATATTAGAATTAGATACTCTACTTTGGATATCTTATATATTTTTGCTTATCGTATGCATTGTGTGCATTCTTGCACTTTCAAATTTTCCATAAATGCATAAAGATCCGCAGCTTTGATTATTTACATATATGTTTGATCATGTACATATATATAGATAATTAAAATAGGAATATATGTAGGATTTTATATTATGTTATTTTACTAGACGAATAAATAAATTTCAGTCCAAATTATATGTACGTAAAATTATATATATATAGGATTCACTTCTTTAAGTAGAATATGCCATATAATATATGTCATATAACATGTAGCAATTATTTCATTTACTGTTGAATTTCATCAGAAAATACTTCTCATCTAATTCTCTCAGATAATTCGGGTAAATCAACTCGAACGCCATTAAAAATATCTGAAGACTAGTCAAATCAGCTTGACTACTAAATTCAAAAGTTCAAGATCCATAAGAGGATGACGAAATCTCTGGCAGAATGAAAAGTTGAAATCAACATCTTTGAAACATGGATTGACTTTCGTGATCGATTTCATTATTGTATAACAAATGTCACATTGTTATAAAATTTCATCAAATAATAATTCCATAGAATTTCCCTGAGTTTTGAATTTGAACAAAAATTTCGTCCCCACGAATTTTGAAAAAAAAAAAAAAAAAAGAAAAAAAGATATCGAAAGCTTCGAACTGAGCTGCCAAGATACGAGAGAGATTTCAAGCCAAAAATTTCGTCTCTGAATTTGAAGAAAAGAGAGAAAGAAAAATTGAAACGATCTGATATCGATGAATGATGAAGTAATATTCGAACGATCCGGATTTCCAGGGACCGCGTGATCCTCGTGTGAAAGCAGAGAGAAGGTGAAAGGGGAGGCAGACAGGTAAAAATCGTTGACACAGTCGTAGAAACCGAACAATGAAGGAAGGATATCGCTTTCGCGATAAATGGGCAACGAGATGCGTCGTTAAGGACACTGGCCTAAGTGCGGATAATGCACATCGTGTGTATCGGGCGCAGCCGGACGCGAGATGCGAATTTCCTTCCTCGGTTCGTAACTGGTGCGTACGCCGCGGAAATAATGGCCAATTTCTGCATACGCGTTCACCGCATTGTTACGTTGATTATCTGGCACGAGGAGAAACTTTTTAGTTTCGATATATATCCCGCGAGGATTAGCACCGCGGCCACGACGTGCGGATAATTGCCGACAAACGGAGCCACTCTTCCAATTAGCCAGCAGGAATTAACGCGTTTCACGCTGAGCATATTTAAAGCTATCGTCTGATCGTATTTACCAGGAAAATAATTGCTATTGTCGCGAGGTGAACCAGATGAAATTGTTACTTCGCGAAATTGTTGAAACGCGAAGTATCGAACGTGAATAGAATATGAGGTTAGATTGGTTACGTAGTTTTACGTTAGGTAGGTTAGGTAATTTTAGGTTAGGTTAGGTTACTCTATGCGGGAAAAAAGCAAGTGGGAAATGTAGAACTAGAATTTCAATTCTCGCTTCGTTTCCGTGAAAAACGCGTTCGCGAAAAACTCAGGTCGAGCACACTCGAACTTGATTAACTCCGGAATAACGAACTGAGCGTCATTCAACGTGTGAAAATAACTCGGGAACGTGGAATGAAATTTTAATTGAACGCTTCGTTTCAAGTATGCTTGGTAGACAGACTCGACGGAAGCGTGAAGATTCATCGAAAATGTTGAAATTGAGAAGCACTATACGATACGAACGAAGTCGAACTTTACATTTTCTCGAAGAATCCATTTTTTTCACTCATTTTCGCTGGTAGAGCGGAATCGGTGGTCAAGTATCGCACAAGTATCGTATATTCTTCTAAACTTCGCGAGACTATCGGGACAGCCCGTATATAACGAACTACAATTCGTTAGCGTACAACAGCTGGGACTGGTTATCGTTTCGGTTTTTCGTCGCGTTCATTAACAGCGGATGATTTCACCGATTTTTCACTCGATCTTATCCGGCCCGGGAAATATCGCGACTGTTTTGCAACGTTGATAACTCGACGACTCGGTGAAAATTGCCGCGTTAATTAAGCCGCTGCTTTGTACTAAACGCGTCCACTAATTGCAAACGCGTGAGCCGAGATGTATTGCGATGAGCTAGATACCGGAGGAAAGAGAGAGAGAGAGAGAGAGAGAGAAAAAGAGAGAAGGAAATACAGGAGGCCTGCCTGGCGCGGAGTCGGAGCGTATATATAAAAAGTCGCGGGCGATTCAGAGTGGAAATGTCAGGTAAACGCCGAATGAAACCGAGATTTTTTTTTCCCTTCAGGTGGTAAATGGGTAATTGACACGATTAATTAACCCCTTTTCCGTGCTGCGCGCTCTCGTCGTTCCGACTGCGCGTTCACGACTTTTAACCTCCGAGCCGGCAAGTTTCACTTGTAATCTCCTATTATTATCTGGCCGTAATAGAAACCTGACGGGACTTGGAACATCGATATCCCTCAAACTCGTCCAGTTTACGGTTACTTCCTCGGCTGCTTCACACACGGCGATTTCCTCGGCTTTTCTAAGTCACGGTTTACGTGTGACGCAAACCTCGTGAGCCGACCTCTCTAACTTCGAATTACGAAATTTGAGCAAATACACACGGGATTAACACATCGGTAGTTTTGTGATTTAGCTAACGGTCTCTAACGTTTCGTGGGCCTCTGATAAAAACGTGGTAAAAACTGTGGTCCTACTTTCTTTGAAATACAACACCGGCCTCCCCCCCCCC